CCGTTGATGACATTACATGCATGTGCGACCTGCTCACAATGACAATACAAAAGTATGTTCTAGAGAATAAATGACATTAATATGTTATGTTTTAGAATGCAGCTTACTGGTTTTGATGGTTTAGTCATTGTCTGTGAATGACTAATGGCTTAACAAGGTGAACGACATCTATTATAATCATACGAGATGTAATTATATATTACAAAAGACATCTATCATGGGTGACTGGTTTAAATATCATGTGATTTTCATCTAGAATCATGATTGATGGTCATCTGTTTGCAGACAATGTCTGGTCAATGAGACCCAAAGCTAAAATTCATATACAGAAAGTGAAATATGCTATAATCTAATGCCCAAGCAGTCTAATTTGATACAACATTGAGCAAAAAGAGAACTTCATGTTTGTGCTGTTTATTGTTGTGTTATTTACACCAAAATATTTTTAGAAAAATATGAAATATGTGTATAAAAATATTTATACTCTATGTTTGTCTATTTGCAAAATTAATTAAATCAATTAAGTCTATTAATAAATAAAGTGATTGAAATATTGAAATTATTTAAATGCATAAGGAATGAAATAATAATTTAAATTTAATGAAGTATATGATGAATGAAATAAACAAAATATTTAAATAAATGAGATGTACAATAAATTCCTAAACTTATCTTATAATATATAAAACAAACTTATCTTATTATAATAAAATAATACATATTTTTCTAATATTTAATGCAATTAACTAAATTTTTGATATATTTTTATTAATCTTATACTTTATTAATTTTTTTATGCATTGTTTTTATTGTACATACATTTATTCTGTATAGCTTTTGTGATTTTGCAATTTTATGAACTGTAATGTTTTTATAGTGCATTTTTTATTGTACATATATTTTTCATTGATAATTCATATATATTTTTAAATTGTATAGCTCTCTCTTTTAATGTATTCCTGTATAGCTTCTGTGATTGTTGCACCATTTTGGGTCACCCTTGGCAAATCAAAAATAAATGAAAAATGAAATGAATCAAATTAATAAAATGAATGCAAATTGTAAAATGAGTAAATAAATAAATTAAATGAGTCTAGTCGATGAAAGAAATTAAGTGAATGAAATGAATTAAGTGAGTGATACAAATAAATTAATTGAATTGAGTGAATGAAATTGATAAACAAATGAATGAATAAATAAAGATATTATTTTTCCAATCTAATAAGGTTATGAAATTGCTAAAATCCTGTATGGCTACACCCACCATCCTTGGCAAAGTGTAACGTAAGCTAATTAATATACATTATTGTCATAAACATGTGAACAAGTACTTTTTGTACCACTGATGCAATTACAGTAAAATATGGATATTTTTTTCATTTACTGTAAGCCCCTAGGCCTAATATTAAGGTCCATGGTCAACCGTCACTTACCCAAGCATTTTATCTGGTAAAAAAATCACCAGGAAATAATTAATGGAAGGTACACAATTGCTTATTAAAAGATTGAAAATGCATTTTAAAATATTTTGGGCTTGGTCAACAAAATATCTTCCAACCACAAAAAGCTGACCCAAAAATATTATATATAGTGTATCGATCCTGTGTGTATTTTATATTATATATATTTTTATGTTCTGCACTACACAATGTATCTCAGAAAATTTAATGACATTTTGACAATAAAGGAATCTTGTATCTTGCATGCAAGCATATGCTGTAGAAACAGTATTATCATAGTGAGAATATTGCTCTCCTGATAATGGTCATAGTGGCAGTCAAGACATTGGTACATTCTCAGTGAGAGTGGCGGTGCTTTTCGAACAAACTGCATAGCATGTTGCAAGCATTTATGAACCATATTATATTCTTTGTTAACCATTTAATTAGTATTTTTCTGTTACATAGTTTTGCTTTTTCTTTTAACAACTTTTTAGTTTGAATAACTATAATTGATCCTTTGAATCGGTTATGTTCACTCTACATAGTTTAATATCTGTTTAAAAGGGGATGCTTCAGAAAAAGTGAGATTTCATTTTTGATTTATAACATGTTTTACTCATAAAAAGTAGTTCAAAATATTATTATTAAATGTTACTTCACTGCCAAAATAAAATGCTTGGTAAAAAATATATATATCCCAAAATTCTAATTATTTTGAGACAGTTTTCCATTCTTTTTGCAGCTACAAACCTATGGAAAAGTTATTATATTACTTAAAATCCATTAAATTCAAAATACCAGTTTATATCATCATTGAGTATTGTTTATTAAGCAAATAAGCAAAACGCTGTCAACTTGATTTATACACTATACACAATTCGTCCATATTTATAGTATTTGTCCATCTGTTCACAAATTTTGGTTTAAATTGTATGCAATTCAGAGGATGAATTGTATTTTTTTAAATTACTGTACTGTACAAGATGGATTGATTTTGATGCCTGCCCATGTCATACTATCTTGTGTCACTGGATAAGACACTGAGCTACATACTGGATAAGTAACAGCTACAGTACCAGCTCTCACAGGCTAAAGGTACACTGGGCATTATCAGCAGTAATTTTTTTGCCTTGAATGGCGGCTGTAGGATATATTTTCTGGGAAGAAGGGGGCTAAGCTGTCTGACAGAGGGGCTCTGAGTGAGGCAAGAATAACTTTAAGCGCACAGAGCAATCTGAGGACCGTAGGCCCGTCGGGGATGGGGAGGGTTTGGGAGGGCAAGATAAAAAAAAAATAGAGACCTCTGGATGACTGGAAATGGCACTCTCAGACTTGAAAATTGCTTTTAAATGTAAAATTGATAAAATACAATTGTTACTATACTCTCATACTCAACTGAATAAACACACATTTCATTTCATTAAGCCTCTTTTTCTTGTTTTTTTGGTCTGACGGCTCGAAAAGCTCTGACTGGTGGGGACGTTGACCTGTCCTAAGTAGCGAAAAATATAAAAAACATCAAAAATTAAACATTAAAACAATGAAGCGAGTGGGCATTCCCGTACCCCACTCGGCTCTACCCGAGCCTATCCCCCAGAGTAGAGAGGCCAAAGAAGTCTTAGGCAGGGACAGCGGCGGCTCCAGAAATTTGTCGAATAGGGGGTTGATATGTCCGAACCGAGGGGCTGACTAGAGGTGTATCTAGGAGTCTTGAATGATTTTTTTTGCTTTGTAAATTTTCAGTGGAGCGGTGGGGGGGTGACTGAGGGTGTGAGGTTTTTTGGGGGCAAGCATACCCACTAGAAACGCCATTGATGCGAAGCAAAAAGAAAGCCAAAAGACAGACAAATGACCAGAAAGTAAGGAGACTGTTTGAGAGTCTTAAGCATCTGTTTTACATTTAAAAAAAGAAATGGTCCAGTTTAGAATAGAAATTTAGCATTTGCTGATCCAGGATTTTTTTCATTAGTAAGTGTGAAATGGGTGGGAGGGGGTGCTAAGAAAATGTTCAAATGGATTGAATCAACACCTGCCTCAGCCCCAATGTAGGAGTATGGTTGATAAACTACAGTAACATTAATATTTTAAAAAAGTAAAATGCATGTTGATAAATCTGGAAATGGTATATGATTTAGGTTTTGACAATTTAAAAATAATTATAATATTAAATAATTGGATTAAATAAGATAAAAACATATTTACCATGATTAAATATGGTTTATAAATTGATACTAATTTTGAAAAGCATTTTTAATAACATTTAGTCTAATATCATTTTCTCTTATTTGATTATTGCTAATATGGAACAGCCACGGTCAGGGGCGGATCCAGATTTTTTTAAGGGGGAAAGGGGGAAACAACATTTTCAGAATATATAAGTGAGAAGTGCTAATTTCAATATATGCATTGAAGCTTTACAATTTAGTGGCAAAATGGGAGGGGGGGGTACATGCCCCCATGCCCACCTACTAGAGCCATGCTTATACACATTTCAAAATCTGGTACATTCTTAGATTGAGCTGTTTTAATGGTAGTCAACTAATGTGCTAGTACTGAATATTCATTATAAAGCAAAAAACAAATTTGTTTTCCCCTACATAGAGTTGGCTTTTTTTTGCACATATTTTTTTTTTTAAATGAACCCATAAAGGCTGCTTCTTAAATTTGATACCTTAACAATGGATTTTAGCCCTGTGGTTAATGCATGGGCCAAATGCTGATTGACAATGAACCCTAGCATTAGGCCTAGGCCTGTAGTAATAATTGTTGACCTGTGCTTGAGTGATACAATTTTTGGGGCCCCAAAGCATGTGCATATTTCCTAGCTACCAATGTCTGCTTTTAAACTGATTGTGTTTTTAATACATCAATCTAATTAAAAATTGATATTTACCTTATGTCTTCTTCTTAAGTATCATTCATAGTTATTACTAATATCAATAATTATCATCATCATTATCATCATCACAATCATAGCATTCTCATCATATCCTGCCATAGATCATGGGAGATAAAATTAAGGACTATAGAAAAACAGAGGATGAGTATATAGTGTGTTTGAAAAGCCACAATATTGGTTTTCCTCATATCTGAATGGCAGATCTGGGGTGGCTAAAGTGTTGCTAACCCCACCCCTAACCAATTGTAAAAAAAATTAGTTAAAACATGTCATCCCCCAGGACCACCAAAATAAAGGAACACCCAAACCCTTCTCACACCAAAGTTCTTCCCCTTTCAGACCACTTGCACCCACTAGCAAAAAAAAATGTTTGATCCGCCACTGCTACTAATGGGGATCTGTATGTATTGTCATCAAAAGCATCACCACAAACACAACCACCACCAACTTTCATCTTCTGATTTTCATATTGGTAAACTTCTTATAGATGATTCATTTATCGTGCTTGTGACATTTCTATTCTCAGAAACCTTCAAAGATCATCACCACAACAACTAATTATTATATCATTATAATCACTTTACACATGACCATAACACAACAGAAGCAAATATAAGGTCCTGTTCTTCCAAAACCATAAACACAAACACGCATATTAATTAAATACATATTTCATATTTTATTAAATGAACACTGCTTCCAAATAGATATCATTAGCAAGTCATATTTACATATAAATATAGCAGTAATTTTAACCATATACCAACCTATGATTAAAGATCTAGCAATAGTAAAATATTGGATAGCAATCACACAGTGCTCAAAATGAAGACTTTGTCACATGTACTTCAAATATAATGCTACTTTATTAAAAATTATGTCCAGAGAATAATATCCCCCAAAACACACTTGCAGTCGAATTGTTAAATTTGCAGGATTACAACATTTACCAAATGGAAAGTGTCTTGAGTGTAAAGTGAACATTAAAATCAAGCACCAGGTTTGCTTATGTATTGAAATATGTTTGCTCATGTGTTACACCAGTTTGCTCATGAATTACAACAGGTTTGCTCATGAATTACAACAGGTTTGCTCATGAATTACAAGAAGTTTGTTCAAGAATTACACCAGGTTTGCTCATGAATTCCAACAGGCTTGCACGTGAATTACACCAGGTTCACTAATGAATTACACCAGGTTTGCTTGTGAATTACACCAGGTTTGCTCATGAATTACACCAGGTTTGCGCACGTGAATTACACCAGGTTCACTAATGAATTACACCAGGTTTGCTTGTGAATTACACCAGGTTTGCTCATGAATTACACCAGGTTTGCTCATGAATTACACCAGGTTTGCTCATGAATTCCAATGGGCTTGCACGTGAATTACACCAGGTTCACTCATGAATTACACCAGGTTTGCTTGTGAATTACACCAGTTTTGCTCATGGATTACACCAGATGTGTTTATGGATTCAACCAGGTGTTAATGAATTATACATCCTAATAACTTTATTTAAGTGTGAAAGTGTCAAATCATGGCAAGAGAAACTTTATCAGAAAAACACTCTCTTAAAACTTTAAAGAAATAACATCAGGAAGACAGATTAATATTATTCAAATTCTTAATATAAAAGTATTAAAAATACTTTGTTTTATCAAATCATGATGAATCTATTAGTAGCATATCTTTGGGTAATTCTGTCAAATATATGAGATTTTTCTCTTGTAAGTCTGTGATATATTGACTATTGGTAATCCCCGGGCTATATGCCTAAATTAAATTATTCATGAGTTTCAACAAGTATTTTATATAGAATTTGTTTAACCTTTTTCCCCTTTGTCCCAATTTTCAAGTTATATTGCTAAATCTGTACTTGAAAAGGATCATTATTAAAATCTGATAACAGAATCTTTTAATATCAATTTTGTGGATGTGCTATCAAAACTCAATTCCATTAAATTTGGAGAAGCAATGTGGGCAAGGTTATAAAAACTGACAAAAGACATCCATTAAACTACATCACAATCAAAACAACATCAATAATATCCACCTTATCCAGAAAATAACAATAATGAAAATTGCATATACCGATACAAATATATATATAACCAACTAAAATTTCACTAACATTGATTAAGTAGAGATAATGACATTATACATGAAGAACTATAACTAATAATATATTATCATATGTTAGTTGCATAATTCAAATAAAAGTATACTTAAAACTACAGGTAATTACATGTAATATACTGGCAGTGCGTGTCCAGGCTTACTAATAATGTTCTAGTATATCCAACTAGAGGTATGTATACTGTACTTGACAATAAGAAGCAAAACAAAGACTGTGTTCATCTTAGAGGAAAGCAAAATGAAAGCCAGTGTTCACTTCAGCCAACCAGTAAAAAGCAAAAAATATCAGATTTTCTTTCTTCAATCATTGAAAATAAAACTAGTATTCATTTAAGCCAATCAACAAGATGCAAAAAAACCAATGAGTGTTTTAGCCAATCACTGACAAAGATAAAAAGTAGAAAATTTGTGCTATCCAATCAGAACCAATGAAAAACAGTCATTGGAAAAGCATGATGACATAGCTAACCACAATTATTGACTTGCATAAACTAAATTAATTGTTAATGGCGAATTGTTATATGCAATGATTGGTATTGAAGGAGGAAACCATACAATCCGTGTTAGTTATGCGCTATTTTGCATTTTGAAAGACCAACCGTATTGCACAACTTAAACGTACGGAAGCTAAAATCTCATTTTACGTTAATTCTTTATAATCTCATGTGGGATTCTTTTTTTTTTAACTGGGTGTTGTCAATGATGATTAAAATTCTAGCTGCATTCAAATAGCAAACGAGAGATGTGTTTTTTGAATTATTTGACATTAATGCCAAAGTTGTACATTACATATATCTGAATATATAAATTGTATACTAACTGTTAGATATAATAATGCCAGTTCGGATGAATTATTAGATGTGATGATATTAACAATATTAATGATAACAACAATAATAACAATCATTTCTTAAGACAATGAAAATACACTAGACCAGTTTGGATGAATTAGCCAAAAATGTGGTAATAACAACAATAATAAGGACAATAAAAATAAATAATAACAATATTAGCAATAATAACAATAGTAACAATTTAAATAATCAAAATAATTGTATTTCCACTGGAGGTTGGATCGAGAGTTTCTAGAATTTGGTGCTCGTTTTTTATTGGAGGGGAATTTATAGCCCATATGATGTATTCTAAATTCTCCAACATACAGGCAATGGCGGCTTAAGCCCTTGCTGACCCCCCACCCCCTGGCGCCGCCACTGCATATAGGCAATCCACTCACATTTGCCTTTGAAATATTGTATTATCTGGAGTAACCAAAATTAGATACACCTATTATTCAATATTTATATGTAATTATGTATCACTGTTTCAGCAAAACATCAGACCAGGAATTACCACATTTTGGGCTCATAGCCTATGCAATACTTCAATGTTGAAAAATTCGTTCATATAATTGTCAAATCTGTAATAAATAAATAAATAAATAATAATAATGCATACGTACAAATGAAGATTAATGGATTATGAGCCAATAATAACAATTGATTAATGATTTTGTATACAAGTTAACACATTTAACAAGGTTTTAATATGTACAATTTGGAGTTACATTGTAAATACATTTTCATCCCTTAATTTTCATACACATTTTATATACACAAGGTTCAATATAATAAACATTTTCAACCTAAAACTTTACAAGATATCTTATAAAAAAAATTTAATCTATTTCAACTCTTTATTGAACAACATTAAAATTTAAAAATGGGAAGCTTCACACTAACATATTATTAGGTATTAAGCAATCACATTCCTTTTCAAAAATCAGGTAGGTTATGTTCTGCATTTTTCAGTCAACTGTAACACATTACTTTGTACTGCAACCTGTGTTCTTACAATTACGTTCAGCTATATAACAGTATCACCAATTTATTACCTGAACTCTTTACTCATGCCTTGATTTTTTTAAAGCTTCTAAATATAAATTTTCAGTCTACAAAATTTTTCAAAACGTTTTCAACCTTTGTCCATTTCTTGCAGTATCAAACTTTGTTAATCTTGAAATCTTTATTACAAGAAGTCATCACTATACTACGCCAGTCTTGTGTTGCAAATTATTCTTGGTAGGTCTCAGACTGATGACTCTGTCCTACCATTCATTAAACGCGTTTCTTCTGGTTTTGACATAACTTGCATTTGGTCATCAACGTACACGTTTGAAATGGCACGAGGTCTAGTCATAAGAAGGGGATCATCGCTCAGGAAGTCAGTTTCTTCGTACCTTTCACTTTGAGCACCTTTTTTCTGTGGTGTTTTGTGTGCCTTTTTATATTCCTTTGGTCCTGTCGGTTTACGATCCCATGGATTCTTGCTTTGCAGAGTCGGACTGGGTTGGAGCACCGCTAGTGAATGGTACTCTGGATTATCGATGTGAGGACCAATCGCCATCGAGTCTCCTGTGACCTCCGATAACCCAATGTATTCACCGATATTCACAGGGTTGAGTGGAGCCGGTGGAGCATCTTCATTCATTCTATCACTTCTATGTATTCCTTTGGTAGATTAAAATTTAAAAATTATCATTTAACATACTTTAAAAAAAAATTATTTTGTAAAAATTAATGGTGGCCCTTACAGTAGCATAAGTTTCATTAAAATCCCACCTAAATTATAATCATCAAATTTAATTTGATGATTTGATTTGATTGTATTATGCTCATATAATTACAATCATTATTAAAGTTTCCAGAAAATTAATATGGATTTGCAACCTTAATAAAAATAATTCAAATTCCTGTTAGGTCATAAATTAACGGGAAAAAAAAAAAACTATTATAAAATTCTAATTTAATTATTTTTTTATGTAACAAAGTTATATATTATCTGAAACAGATGTTGTCTTTATATTAAAATTTGCTTTCATATTTATATTGAAAAACATTCACCAAGAGACAGTAAATCAAATAAATATCAACATCGATAATATAATTTTCCAAATTTCTTGATTACTATGCATGGCGATACCCATGGCCAGTTGACTTCTGAGAGACAACTAACAACTCAGTTATTTGCAGAAGATCAATTATTGCTATGATCTTTGCTTGTTCAAGTGGGTGCAAGACATTGTCAATTTCAGCGAACTCTTTCGACTTGTGGCATATTTTGGAATGGTGTTTTGCAGTATAAATCAGATTTAAATACTGCATGCCTTGTGTGTGCATTAAAACCAGTATTTTTGTAGGCATGGGTAATGAAAATTAGATGGAAAATATTTGTTGTATTGCAAAATTAATTATTATAACAAACATATTATAAACACCAAACAACTACCCGGAAGTTAATAGCGTGAGGTTGTCATACTACGGACCTACTAAACCTGGACTACTCTACTGTTATACAGAAATCCTGTTACAATCAATATTAGTATTGTTCAAATTTGGAAGGCATATATGCATGTATGTATGGGCATGTATGTGAATATTAGCATGCTGCATGTATGAGAGCTTATGTGCCACCATTTTATGTACGTATGGATGTGGCGTTTATGACAGCTTTGGTGCTAAGAGATGAGTAAAGAGAAGACCTGAAGAAGAAAAAGAGAGAATCTTTAGATGTTGACCAATCAGAATCTTTCCCTCTCACCTGATTCCAATTCATCTTCAGACTCTTCCATTTTGGCTTTGATCAGATCCTGATAATGATTAACAGGTTCCTCATTGACATACTCAGCCTCACCTGGTGGTAGTATACCCTGTAGAAACAATGGTTTCATCCACTAACTTTAAGATGGAAGTTCTCATAATTGTTGTTCTAAATACAATGCACCTTTCTGGAGTGTCAATCAAATTAAACAACTGACCAATGAGAGGGCTTAGCAGAAAGGTCTATAGACCATTTTCGCGAAATTTGAAATGAAAGTTTCTGATAACCTATCAACTACCACTGGGGGCATTCCAGAGACCTACGCACTTTGCACTACATAGTTACCAGTGTGCGTACGGCGCTCTATTCGAAACTAGCTAGCTGCTCAGGCTTGGCCGTTTGAAGTCCTCCCCCTACCCCCAGTGAGTTGCGAGATGTTGGCTGTGCTCTTTCAAAATAAACCCGATAAAATGGTCTATATAGCATGGATTCCAATAATATAAGTATGGGTGGTGCCATAGATGGATGAACGAGATGTGTGATTGGATGCATCTATTAATTAGTATGGATCTATTAATTAGTATGCAATGGTTATATAGTTTATATACACTGGCAATTAGTAGCAGATATGTTAGGTTATTGAGTTAGTATCGATAAATATTCATTATTGATATTATCAACACTAATAAATAATCAAATTCATTTGTTAATGTAACTAAATGATCATGATCATTTGCGAATATCGGTAATTATGATTATCTGTGATTATTATCATTTGTGATTATCATCATTAGTAAGTTACTGCACAAGCTAGTCCACACCTCAAGCACGTTGAGACTTCGGTAAAAAGTGCAACAGAAACCTACCGGCAAAAATACCGGTTACGGTAAATTAAATGGAGTTCAAAATATAATAAAAGTGGTACCAAGTGTCAGGAAAGTAAATCTACGTGCATTATATCTATTATAACATTATTATATTATCATATTTTTATATTTTTGGTTTATTTTACATGTGCAAGTAAGAGTTAGTGAGTTCAACTTATAAACAGTACTTGGGTGCCAGTGCATTGGAATAGTGGTGATATCATATCAGATTTCATAAGCAAAAATCATGTCATTATAGATAAGTAGAAGGTTAGATCAATCTCAGTACGGATTCAAGAAATGGCGAAATTTATTAGATGGTATTATATGACGGACTGTTTCTGTGCATAGTGGTACCCATGGCTGGCTGACTTCTGGTAAACAACTATAAAAACATAGTAGTAACAACATATTTTTTTATTCCTTATCACTATCATCTATGAATACGTCTTTTCAAAACTGGAAAAATATTATTCCACCAAGCACAGCTAAATATTATTTATTTTACTTTAATTGAAAAACGCTGTAAAATTAAAATGAAGTGCCATGTTCTAAACTTACATCAGTAGAAATCTCCATTGGTGTGAGGTAATCATCTGCGTCGATCAGGTTCATCATGTTTTTGTGTTCACCACCTTCCACAGTATCTTTATCATCGCAGAAGAAATCACTGTAAAATTCTTCCCTATTAAATACTGGAAGTTGCTTCTCGTCATCATTCTACAAAGTTCATTGGGAAAATAATGAGCACTATTTTAGATAACAACAGCAACAAAAACAACAATAGAGTACAACAGTTGTGTCGTCACAACGCCAGGTGGCGCTCTCTGTTGCCAACCAGACGTTGGGTACTGTTTATTACGCCTGAATGACTTCATAGGCTTTCTGGAATAGGCATTTTAAAATATTTTACCATCAAAATGTACTAAAAATACAAATGCTCGCATTATATTACTTATCGAACACACGTTTAATCATCAATTTAAATTTAAAAAAGAAAAACTAAGATACAACATCTTAATAATTATGTTACAAATTGGGATCAATGGTTTGTCAGTGGGGAAAATGGCATCCGGTTGAACTCATTTTGCAACGGAGTAGTATCATGAGGTATCGTGACATAACACTGTAGTACTGTTTAGCAGCAGCAGCAGCAGCAACAACAGGCTGTTGAATTACAACTTTGTGATTTAACCGTAAAAGTTCAAATGTTGCAAAGACAAGCCAAATCAGTCACTCATTGCAATAACAAGTTCTCGTAATCTCGAAAGGTCCGATGAGGGCAATATAATGAGGCAGTAGAGTGTGTTGGACCTAACGGCCGCCCACGCAAAAAAGATCTATTAATCAATCAAACAATCAATCGATCACACAATCAATCAGCTGAGTATTTCTAGAGCTCCTTCAAAATTACACAGTAACTATAGCTCATTGTTCTAGAGGCATGAATGTAGCTTCGGGTGTGAGACATGCCTGGTTTAATTCCCGGATGAGCCCATTATTTTTTTTTCTACAAAAAATGAAATAAGATCTATTAATCAATCAGCAAAAAAGATCTATCAGTCAGCTGAGTATTCCTAAAGCTCGTTCAGAATTACACAGTAACTATGGCTCGTTGGTGTAGAGGCATGAATGTAGGGTATGAGAGGTTCCTGGTTTAATTCTCGGACGAGCCCATTATATTTTTCTTTTTTCTCCCTAAAAAATGAAAAACTTAATCAACCATGAAAAAAGCTTAGTCAATCAGAAAAAAAGCACAGCCACTCAGCCGTGAAAAAAGCACAATCAATCAGCAAAAAAGCACACAATCAGCAGGGTATTTCTAGAGTTCATCATCAGAGCTAAACAAAAAAATCTCTATTAGTTAATAATACAGAGTTAAACAGTAAAATTAAAGTTGAGATATCAGGCTTCAAAGATTTTGGAGATTTCTCAGGCAGAGACCATTACAAAATCATAAAAAAAATTTAGTTTTAAGAGTTGAAAATGGGAAAAATAACAACATAGCATTATGGATAGATGCATAAATGAAAGAGGCAATATGATATCGAGCGAAAAATCAAAGTAGGTACAAACAAACAGTTTTTATTTTTTGTACACTGAATTGCTCATTTCAAAGTTTCAATTAATTATTCTGCCTGAAGTAAGCTGCTTTCCACATACCTCTATTACTACAAATCGCTGTGGATCTTGCGCCATCTTTCCAAATTCTTCGACAAGATATGAAAATCGTGGTCTAGCTGCTGGGTCGATAACCCAACCTGTAAAGAAAGTAAAAGAGGATGATGTAACGATTTATTGAACACAATCATTACTGCAACCACAATCTCCCTATTAACTACTAGCAGCATTTTCACTACATCATCACTATTCATTACCAGTATCACTTATCCCCAATAATACTATATCACCAAAAACTACCATCAAACTACCATCTCCTATACATATCACTCTTACATTTGAGTAACAACATGTAAACATCTATAGTACAGATCGGGGGTTGTTTAAGGCGTTCCCCCTTGTCAATCAGATCAAGAACGTCGCGTGCTCGATAGCCTTCGTATGGTCTTGTTCCAAAAGTCATCAACTCCCAAATTGTAACACCTGCATTTAAAAAACAGTCAAAATAAAGTAATTGTTACTAATTTAGATAAATTGTTATAATACTACAGATAGCAACTGCTGGTTTTACATGAAATTTTAAAGATTTGGGGAAATATTTCTAAATTTTTAAAAAATAATAAAAAATAATAAATAGTAAGTGTCACTGATTTACAGACATTCTACTAAAAATAATCTTACCAAAGCTCCAAACATCACTCTCGTGGGTAAACAAAGCATACTTTAAGCTCTCTGGTGCTAACCACTTCACAGCAACCTACAAATGTCAAATCAAAGGTCAATCATAGGGATAATGACAGATTAAGTTCATAGGACATAAGAAAAGCTAAGATCATGCAAAGGACATGAAATACTAAAAAAGTGTAAAGGTCAAGGTATAATATGAAAATTCAATGTTATGATATACCTAACATAATGTTCTAATAAGGAGCTTTCGATTTGTGCGGCGACGCAAAACTAGAACGGAATCAATGCGTGACCGTCCTACATGGCGTCCTATGTTCTCTGCATACGTAGATTTGGTCAAATTGCATTCTAGAATCTACTCGATGAGGTGACCTTAACGTTCTTGCATGCGCAGATGACTTTTAGTGACGTTATTACGTTCTACGTCCTACCGTCGTCGTGCAATCGAAAGCTCCCTAATATTGTGAGGTCATGCAATAGTTGAATTGCTAAGGTCAAACTGTAGGTCACAACATACTAAGGTCATTCAAAAAATGATGAAATGTCAAGTAACAGGTAAAAACATATTAAGGTTATTTAATATATAATTATTTATTTAATGGAGGTCAAGTAAATAAATAATATATAAATGAAGTAGGTCTTAACATTTAAGGTCATTCATTGGGTTATGGCATATGAAGGTCAGGCAGTAGGTCACAGTGTACTAACAATACTGTAGGTAGGTACATAGGTCAAGCAGTAGGTCTTGGGTTATGGCATATGAAGGTCAGGTCGGTAATGACATAATAAGGTAAGGTCAAGCAGTAGGTCACAATATACTAAGGTCATTCAATGGGACATAGAATGCAACCTAGGTCAAGCAATATTCTAGTAATACAACACGGATCAAACCTAACTTGCTGTCATTAGAAAATGTGCCACCATACCTTTCCTCCTTCTGCAAGAAATTTCTGTTCATCAACATCAAGGAATTTAGCTAATCCAAAATCTGTAATTTTCACTTGGTTTGGACTTTGTACAAGAACATTTCTTGCGGCCAAATCTCTGTGTATAAGATGCTTTGACTCCAAGTACTCCATTCCCTGAGGAAAAAAATGCCCAATAATATTAAATCATAAAATAAATACCTAACTTTTTGGTGGTAAATTGTAAGGGAAGACGTCAATCCCCTATGATATGCTTACTGTGCATGCATTGTAAATTTACTTGTGTTTCAGCCATCTAGAGCAGCGACAGAATTGAGATTTCTACATTTCACAACACTGGCAACTACCAGTTTACTCAACCAGTTATACTGCCCTCTATTAAATCTCAATTGTTCAGTCATCACAGAAAAGCTACAACCAGGGCAACAGCTAGTGGTTAACAAGGCCACAAACAATAGTTTTTCCCATGCAGAAAATCAGGGTCAGTCTGCAGGAAATTTTTCAATATCATGCTGTTACTATCCCATTTACCAGCAAACCTTTAAAAGGGCATTTTGAAGGGTTGGCGAACCAGGTTTTGCCAGTCTTATCTCAATAATCCAATTGAATATCAAAGAAGAATAACGCTAGAGTCGTTATCACAGCAGGCATTGTTATTTGTCAATAAATTACCAGTACAGTATTTAAAAACAAGGCTAAAAAATTTTTAAAAACCTGTTGTTCATAAATGGTAGGCATTTTTGTTACCTTAGTTATAATTTAAGATAAAAATCATAATATATATGTTTTTGAATTTTAAAAATCAATGACATGTTTAGGCCTTGGCTGGCTAGTGTTACTCCTACCTAGCCTATGAAACGACTAGGCCTAGCTGGGCGAGAAAGAAAAGCACACATCGTACATATGCCTATTAAAAATAATCACTGTACAAACAAATCTGTTTACGAACAACCAATTTCTTTTCTTTTGAAAACGTACATTAAATTAGTTTCTGCTATAGCCTGTTTCAGTGTAAGTTTTGACTTTCCAAGCAGTTTTTGAAGCACAGAAATCTAGGCCTACCTCTGTGAATTTTGGCTCGGCATTGCTGACAGCCGACATGAAATCCATGGGCTAAATTTAATAATTAAAACTTGGAAAAAAAATATTATTTTATGTCTTTTTGGTTAGAAAAATCTTTTTGCCCAAAAAAATCTGACCTAGATTGTAAAGAGTTTGCATGTGGTAGGCCTGGACAACACAGTTTTTTGGCTTATTAATATCGAGTTCCTAGTCCACATATCAAGCGCCCTGAGCATCTTATGTTAGATGGATATGTGCGCTTTATAAAACTGCACTATTAATATTATTATTATTATTAATAATGAACACATATCCATCCAACATAAGATGCTCAGGGCGCTTATTTTTATTTTTATTACTACTATTATCATTATTATTATTACTTTATTAATTACTATATCTTCACTTACTATCATTTACTGTAATTTAATAATTTGTTAATTGTACTTAATTTGATTACATTGCCCTTGTTACTTATTTTCTTTTCTGAAGAATTTTATATTGTATTTTTTCGTTGTGTGAAATAAAATAAAATGAAAAAAATGAAAATGAAATTAATAATCTCTTTGACTGTGGAGTTGGGTTTACAAGTAAATAAGTCGTCATCATTTTTTAGTAATGGCACATACCTCTGCTATCTGCATACTCCAGTTCAAAAGATGGTATGCACCAATCTGATTATGGTTTTTCCTGACATAATCTAACAGTGCCCCCAGTGGCATGAGTTGAGTCACCATCATCATAGGCTCTGACATGCAGACAGCTAGAAGACGTAAGACACAACGGTGTTCTACAGTTGCCATAACTCCAGATTCCTTCAAAAAGATGGTGAGAGGTCAGAATTAGGTTTATTGAATGAATGTTTGCTGTCCAAGCTGTTTCTAATTAAACTGTAAAATTCTGTCAATAATTGTGCATAATGGCTTTAAAAAAACAGCGGATACTCACAGCCAGCAGTTCATCACTGGACGAGGGTGACAAATCCTGAAGAACTTTAATAGCAACAGGAATACGGAAACGCTTATTCTCAGGAACCCAAAAACCCTGCATGAACAAACAAACCAATAATTTGTCATTATTAAGTGGTATGTTACATCTTGTGCTTACGGTGCAAAATTGGTTGTAAATAGGTAAAACAATAATTCATTCTGAATTCGTAAAAAAGCCTGTCATGGCCTAAGCTTATGTCATTAAATTAAAATCAATTAAATTAGCTTTTACATAGCGCTCTTTACCAGCCTCACAGCGCTGTTTGTCCTGGTCATTGGATACGGAATCAATCGATCACACACAACGTGCAACCTCCTTCGCTCCCTGGGAAGTATTCCTATTTGTGCGTGTAATCAGCACTACTAATTTCATTCTGAATAATTCCCCTCCTACCAGGTACCAATTTATACTCCTTGGTGAAGAGAGGCAAATACAGATAAAGCGTCTTGCCCACTAAATACACAAACAGTGTGACGAGCATCGGTCTTCAACCCCCGACCTTCCAAAGATTGCAAAAAAGGTCATAGGTCAAAAATTTTAGCACTTTGGATCTTAAACTCAATTTTGTGTAAACAAAATGTACAGTACATCTGCTTCCACAATACATTATGTCTGTAGCATCATTATCATTACGTAAATCTTGCCTTAAAAATCATATTTATTTGAAGGTTACACATTTTTATAATCAGTTATCAGTTCAATTACAAGGCTTAAGGAGTGAAATTTTTGATTTCTGAGATGATTCGAACCTAGGACCTTGGAACTAGAAAGCAAGCATTTCAACCATGAAGCTACAACTCTACTAATATATCTTAATACTCAGTTTCATGCCATTTTTAGAAAGCAAACAAATGAACTTACACTGTATACTGTACCAAAGGCTCCAGCTCCTAGCTCAGCACCTTTGATGATCTCAGTCTGCTTAATGATTGTTAACTTGGCCTTGTTTGGAGCACGTCCACTTGCACGAGCAGTCTAATTGAGAAAAATAAAAAATAAGTTTAAGCATTTTGGATTTTCAAATACAAGCATTAAAGTAATTCAGCCTTAATGCTGGATAATTGTTCATTCAAATTATTTATTTAATTATAGGATAATAAATACCTAATAAAATACAGAAAATAGCAAACAAAATAGTTACTTACAACTCTGTTGAACTTGGCATCATGTAACGGAACTTCCTACAAAGGATAAAAAAAAGTTACATAATTTTTTTTACTTTTTAGTATGTATAAGAAAAATACCTTAGCATAGTGAGTGGACAGTCCCGAGTCATTCTTAAAACATTTTATTTGGTAATTCATAGCAAGCGACAGGAAACAAGGGTTGATGTATTTCTTGAGCACAAATATTTTGGTCATCCCTGCAACTTTGTTTAGTGTGAACTAACAGATCACAGTTTGGCATATAAATTAGCATGACAAATAACATGTGAACTTAGATTTAAACTGATAGTTTATGTATAATAACCAAATGCAAATTAATGGGCTAAGTTCACTAGGTTT